ACTCCTCCCCCCCACCCCTACCCGACCCGGCACCAGGCTCGTGTTCGCCGTGCCCGTGAGGAGCAGCTGGAGTTGGAGAGAGAGGAGAGAGAGTTGCAGCGGCTAGAGGAGCAGCAGCAGCAGCAGGAGCAGCTGCAGCAGCTGCAGCTGGAGCCGCCGCAGCAGCAGGAGGCGCAGCAGCTGGAGCCGCTAGAGCAGCAGGAGGAGCAGCAGCAGCCGCCGCCGCAGCAGCAGCAGCAGCCGCCGCCGCAGCAGCAGCAGCAGCTGCCGCCTCCTCCTCCTGTCTCTGGTCTTCGGGCCCTCGGTCTCCCCTCCTGCTCTCCTTCCTCCTCCCCCTCTCCTCCCGTCTCGGGTCCTCCGCTTCCTCCTCCTGACCCCTCCCCGGCTGTTTTCCCTCGTTCTCAGCCTCCGTTGTCCCCTCCTCCTCAGACTTGGGCCTCTCGTCGCTCCCCTCGTGCTCGTCCCTCGTCTCCTGTTCTCGTTACTGACCTTCGTACTGCCCTCTTTCGTTCTAGTCCGCCTCGTTCGTCTCCGTCTCTCCTTCCGTCTCCTCCTGAGTCGGCCTTCACTGCTTCTCTCTCTACTCCTGTCACTGACTACTACCGCACGTACCGTCCTGTTCTCTCTCGTGTTCTCGCCTCTCTTGTTACCGACCCTCGTGCCTCTGTCTCCTCTGTCTACGCCCTTACTGCCGCAGTCACTGAGTTTGCCTCCACTCGCCGCCTTGACTACGCCACCGGTCTTGTGGCTGCTCCTCCTACCAGTCCTCTGGCCGTCGGGGGTGAGTCTGCCCTTGGCTGTGACGCCCTAGAGGACAGGCAGTTTGAGCTAGAGTTCCTGGCAGCCGCTTCCCCACATCTCTGTGCCATGCTGCTCGCCCCTGAGGGAGACCCCGACGCCCTTGACATACCGACTCCTCGCACTTACGCTGAGGCAGTGTCAGGGCCTTGGGCCTCTCAGTGGAGAGCTGCCATGGACGCAGAGATGGCCTCCTACAGATCCACAGGCACCTACGTCGACGAGGTTCCCCCCCCCTGGGGCGAACGTAGTTGATGGCATGTGGATCTTCAGGGTGAAGCGGCCACCGGGATCTCCTCCGGTATTCAAGGCGCGCTACGTGGCTAGAGGTTTCAGTCAGCGCGAGGGAGTTGACTTCTTTCAGACCTTCGCGCCTACCCCGAAGATGACCACTCTTCGGGTGTTACTGCACGTAGCAGCACAGAGAGACTACAAGTTACACTCCCTCGACTTCTCCACTGCTTTCCTCCAGGGTAGCTTACACGAGGAGGTCTGGCTGCGTCGTCCCTCTGCCTTCACTGACACTTTCCCTCCTGGGACCCAGTGGAGGCTGAGGCGACCTGTCTACGGTCTTCGTCAGGCTCCTCGTGAGTGGCACGACACTCTTCGTTCTACCCTCTCAGACCTTGGGTTCCAGCCGTCTTCTGCCGACCCGTCGCTGTTCGTTCGTCGTGGCTCCACACCATTCTTTGTTCTGGTCTACGTCGACGACCTGGTTTTCGCCACTGCTGACAGGGTTGCCTTGGCAGACGTGAAGTCCGAACTGCAGAAGAGACACACGTGCACTAACCTTGGTGACCTGCGCCACTACCTTGGCCTGCAGATCACCAGGGACAGAGCTGCTCGCACCATTACACTCTCACAGTCACACATGGTGCAGCAGGTCCTTCCGCGGTTCGAGCTTCAGCACTCCACAGTACAGCGCACACCTCTTGCTTTTGACCACAGACTTACTGGACCCTTTCCTGACGAGCCGTTTGAGTCTAGTGGTCCCTACGCAGAGCTGGTGGGCTGCCTTATGTACCTGATGACTTGCACTCGCCCGGACCTCGCCTTCCCTCTCAGCATCCTTGCTCGCTTTGTTGCGCCAGGGAGACACCGTCCTGTTCACTGGACGGCAGCTGTGAGGGTGGCGAAGTACCTAGCGACGACATCAGGCGTGGGGCTAGTTCTTGGAGGGCAGCAGCCTGTCGTACTTACTGGTCACTGTGACTCTTCTTACGGTGACGACGCTGAGACTCATAGGTCTACTCAGGGGTACTGTTTCAGCTTGGGTTCTGGAGCTGTTTCGTGGCGGTCCACGCGCTCCTCTTCGGTCTCGACCTCTACAGCTGAGGCTGAGATCTACGCTGGTGCCATGGCGGCACAGGAGCTGCGTTGGTTGACCTTCTTGCTCGCCGACCTTGGTGAGCGGCCGAGCTCTGCACCGACCTTGTTCACTGACAACAAGGCGTCGATTCTCCTTTGTCGAGTGCCGCGACTGGAGAGCAGAGTGAAGCACATTAACGTCAGGTACTTTCTTCTGCGAGAGTTGCAGAGACGTGGGCAGGCTCGCTTCGAGTTTGTGGAGTCCGAGGCCAAGACTGCAGACATCTTCACCAAGGCGCTTCCGCCTTGTGACCACCAGAGGTGTTGTGTGCAGTTAGGCCTTGTTGACACAGTTTCTAGTCGTGTATAGGCTTGAGTCTACTGTTTGCTTTGCTTGTACTCTTGCTATACACACTTGTGAAATCTCGAACTGGCCTTGTGGCCCCTGTTGCTTGTGCTCAGAGTGTGTGGTGACGTTGTGATCCACCCTGAGCTTTGTTTCTTTGTGACTGGTCTTGTGACCGTACACTTTTGGTTTTGCTTGACACCCCTCACTTAGGCTATGGGGGTGTGTCAAATGTTGTAGCCTGTAGTGAGGTTTGTCGTAGGGGGTACAGATGTTAGGGTTTGTTATATGTACCCCAACCCACATCAATGAACCAACACTTTCATTCTTGACAGTTTGAACTTACCCTGTCATTCCCACTCCCCCTGTCATTCACACCTCCCATGTCATTCCTACTCCCCCTGGCATTCCCACTCCTCCTGTCATTCCTACTCCCCCTGGCATTCCCACTCCCCCTATCATTCCCACTCCCCTTGTCTTTCCCACTCCCCAAATCATTCCCACTCCCCAAGTCATTCCCACTCCCCCTGTCATTCCCAATCCCCCTGTCATTCCCACAACCTCCCCCCACCACCACCACCACCACCACCTCACCCTCATCCCTCCATTTTTCTCTGGATCGGGGCGTGTGTCAAACTTATATGCTGCATGTTGTGTAGGCTGTAGTGGGGTAGCCTATATGGGGTACAACCCAATTAGGGTTAGTACTTGTACCACATTTCTGATCAATGCACACATTCCTGCTCGTTAGTTTCTAACAGCGTGTGTCTCGAAGCCTACTCAGCCTTTCGTGCTTGCCCTGTATTCACCCACTCCCTCCACACCTTCTCACGCACACCCACACTTGTCTCTGGATCGGGGCGTGTGTCTCGAAGCCTACTCAGCCTTCCGTGCTTGCCCTGTATTCACCCACTCCCCCCACACCTTCTCACACACCCACAATTGTCTCTGGACCGGGGCGTGTGTCTCGAAGCCTACTCAGCCTTCCGTGGTTGCCCTGTATTCACCCACTTCCTGCACACCTTCTCTCATACTGGCTGCACATTGGCTTTTAGAAAGAGTAATCGAAACCCAAGCCAATCTGAACAGTCGGTGACAATATTATGGTTCAGAAAGTTTAGAGCACCACTCATTTCCACTATTGTACATGCTACGCTACACACCACCAGGCTCTAAAAGAACACCCCACCGACCACCTCTCTCCTCCCCCCCGCGCTCTAAACGAACCCTTCCCCCCCCCACCCCCCCTCTTATCCAACCCCCCCAATCCCTCTCGCCCTAAAAACAAAAACATTAGGAAACGAATGAAAAAAAGATGTTAAGTGTCTAATTTCACGCTTTCTTTACCTTTCCGCAAAGTGCCACTAAGTTTTCTGGATGCCCCACCCTGACATATGGTCCGTGATCCACCAGCTCTGCGACTATAGCACGGGCTACCACCTCTGACACTGGCCCGATGCGCGTAGTGTATCCGAACGTGTAGCGCCCGCGGCGACCACCCTTCGCAGTGGTGAGATTTCGATAGGTACTAGAGTCACCCGGAAGGGAAATAACTGTGCAGGTGTCTCCTTGACTCTCCGAAGGCGACGCTCCTTTCGACTTGAGGTTCCGATAACGTACGTGTAACTCGGCGTAGGTTTTCGCTGGTCCCATCCTGTGGAATAGGATATGAGGTAGGAAAGTGATGTCAAGGGGAGCACCGTTTAAGAGCACAACCAGAGTCATTGCTCAGCCCTATGTCATTGCTTAGAATATGATTATTTACCAGCACGGAGAGGAGACGTACGTACCTCACACCCTTGGCGACAAATATCCCTGATGCGCCTTTGTCACCCACGACTAATCTATTATCGTATTTTGTTGGACGCAGCTTGGCCACATACTTCGCTGAAAATAAGAATGGCGAAATAGGTGTCAGCGATCACTGGACGTGTTTTGAGTCGACTCAAGTTGGACGCAACTCCATCACCAAAATGTTTCTGACCCTAGCGTGACCCACCTTCCGGCCTGACCCAAGCCTGTCCTGTAAATGCCCCCAGAGTGCCTTTGGGGTCAAATTAGGGTTAGTGGTCAGAACAGGGTCACTTCTGGGTCAATGAGTTTTTGCCCCAAACCTAACCCAACGTCGATCTGACCCGAATCTGTCCCAACCCTGCGTACCCTCATGTTCCTTGAGCGCCCGGGTTCGATTCTCGCCATGTAACAGGAAAAAAAAAACCCCGAAATAAGCCGCACCAGTATGGACAATGTCCAGAAGCTTTGAAATCGCATGATGGTGTACCAAAACATAAACACTACATACAGTACCAACATCTGGTCTACAACACAGTCCAACACCAAAAGTACATCCGCTCAGGCAGGCCAAGAGGAGCGCCTCACGGCTTCCGAAACTAATGGACTGCAACCGAATGGAAACAACATAACTACTACTGCCCAACTGCCCACAGGTTTTACATCAAAAGTGTAGCCGTGGTTTGCCTCATGTACCGACCCCACACGGTCCCTGTCAAGGCACAACCACACGGCTGCAACATGTCTTCCGCCCCCATCACTCATCAAACAGGAACCGATTCACCAAAGAGAACCGGGCCTCTGTGAAACACGGGACAATGTGGGCAAGGGACAGAATGCTCTCCACCTCGACAACGACATACTCATCCTCTCCCTCCGTTGGCAAGAGCCTCATGCATCCCGTCACGGGGCATGGAGTGGGATGCTCGTCGAAGTACCGCACCACGGCGCGCCTGTGAATCTGGGCCTCGTCGTCCATGAAATGGAAGAGCATGAGGCACCGTGCATACCACTCGCCTTCCGCCCCATCAATCGACACGTAGCTGAACTTCCCTTCACCCGGCGCTGCCTTCACCATGTGCCCTGGCCCGTGGCCCAAGAGGCGGTCATGGGGGGGTATCGCCAGCGCGGTGTGCACCTGCAGACAACGACAAGAACGGCGCCGGGCATCACGTGAAGGTCCCCCTCAAACGCAATAAGAAGGCACTACTTACCACCTTGTACCCCAGAAATCCCATGCCCGGTTAGGCCCCCTTCCACCCACTCATGCCATCGAGGCATCACCTGCACGCCTGACGCAGTGATCCCCACGCGCTGCATCACACGTGCGATCCCATCCATCACCGCGCTGCCCAGCGCGGCGCCGTATTCCGCCCATACCGGGTCCTGCGCATCCCCCACCGCCATGCGCCGTGAACGTCGGGTCAGCACCGATGTGTTGTGCTTCACCGCCTGTGCCCACTCGCCAATGGGGGGAATGGAAAAGAGCGTAACTGAGAACGGAACATGACCACATGAGTTGACTGCAACTACGGGACATCATTATGGAAGCAATGTCACATGGAGCGTCACCGCTCCATGCATGCATGACCCGAAATAGCTCACCGTGCGCATGGCCGTCTCGTACATCCTCCCCCCCTCTTCCCGAGCCAGGCCCCTGATTGCCTCGTTGCGTGCGTGGCGAACCGCAATGTCTCTGCCCACGTCCCGCCAGTTCGAGTTCCGTGCAGGCCAATTGCAGCATCGCTTATGCATGGCCTCGTAGGTGTTGGTCGATTGCTCGGACGGGATGCCATGCATCCTGATGGCGTGCGGAAGGTGCCGGAGAAGATGGACCTTCGGCAGCCGCCACTGCGACGACTGCTTGGGGAAGACGAGCTTCAGCTCCGCGACCAGCCTGCGCAGCATCGTACAGCAACGCGTAAGATGTATGGCAATGCGGGGCAGTGGCATGAGGGGCATGTGCATTAGCTGGGAGGAGCAGATGCTGCAAGGGCGTGATACTGCGGAGCAGATAAGGCTGGGGCATGATATGCGGAGGGCGGAGGGGCAGCAGAGTGCGTAGCAAGAGAGTCACTTGCATGAAAGTCCAGCGCGGGGGAGGAAAGGGCATTAGAGGCAGGGGCGTCTGATGCAGTGGTATGAGAACCTGTGGCTGCCTAATACCATGAGAAGTATGGCCAAGAGCACGTGGGGGCATGAGGGGATTAAGGGTTGAGAGGCAGGGGCATGATGACGTGTGGCATTGGAGGGAGTGGCCTTATAGGCAAGAGCATGAGAGTCAGAGGCATCAGAGGCCGGTGCGGGACAGAGAATGTCTTGTGAGGCAGGGGCTTGAGGTGCAGGGGCATGGTGGAGGCTGGTGCCAGCCTTGCGTGTGAATGACAAACCCGCTTACACAATGGTCTTCCTCGTTGCATCTTGAAGAGACGCCTCCGTGTGATAAGCCACGCGGAAATACGCGCGGTACCACTCGTTGAAGAGGATGACCACGCGGGCAATGTCCTCGTGGCCAGGCAGGTGAGCGACCAGCGGGACAATCTGCATCATGGCTTGGTGCTCCCATGCGGCGTACTGGGACACCGTCCCAAAGTATGCCGATGGGTCCGGATGCCGGAGAAGAGACGGTGGCGTCACTGCCATGACGGCCTCGCACTGGCTGCGGCCACAAGCAATGCAACGTCAGAGCAAGACATGAGCAAACACGCTTTAAACCGCGCAGTGCTACATCACATGGTTACAGCACCACGCCACAACCCCTCGAAAACCCGCACTCAGTACCTTAGAAGAATCAGCTGCTCGGTGGGGGTTAATTTCGCCACCAGGCATCGCATGGTGTGCAGCCACACCCCCTCGTCCACCACGTGCATGATGCATATTCCGATGACCTCGTAGAGGTTCCCCCAGGGAGTGTCGACGTGCGCCCATTCCCACAGTGCGCACTGCCAAACCGCACAAAGCTAATGCTGTTATCCCCGCGCGAAATCGCGCACTTTGGGTTGTGTAAACAATGGTTCAACTGCTTGACCCCCACACCGCAGCCTCTCAGAGGGTCACTCACCTTCACAAAGTGTGTGCACCATGCAGACTTAACTCTCTTGCGCTTCTTCGGGTTGGTACCCTCGATCCGATCGTACACGTCCTTCTGGCCTTTCACGGTGCGTGTGGTGCTTTCCAGCGTCAGATCCGCCAGGTCCCACTTGCTCACGAGGCACATAGAGCAAGGTTGGTTCGACGTGGCTGCCCATGTGCATGTCACCATGCACGACTCGGTGTGGTCGCACACGTACTTGCTCAGAAGTGGAAAGACCCTCTGTTTCCGCCTCAAATGATCGGTGACCATGATTCCCCCACTGCGCAAGGCGGGGCACGAACGTCGGTAGAAGCAAGTGTGATCATCGGTTTATTCAACTCACCCCGGCCTGGGACACTACACCGCTTACGGATGGCACCTCCCACGCCTTTGGCCGCAACGTACCTCTCGACTGATGATGCCCGCATGAGAGGCCCTAGTACCAGCCGCAGCATCTCGTGCATGAGCTCCGTCTTCTGCTCAGGTGTCAAGGCTGCGGGTAGCGGGGGGAAGAGTGCTACCATCTCCACGCCACCTTCCAGCCATCGGCTGGCCTCGGGAATGTTGTCCAGCGAGAACATCATCGGGTGAGGCAGTTGCCTCCCATTAAACGTCAGATGGGTCGCATCACTGAACATAATCACCACTGCCACTATACCGGCACCCCGTAAAGCCTCCTGTAGGGTATGGGTCGGACACAGACGGAGTTGTGGACGTGCAACCCACCCTGCGTCTGCGCACCCTCCCCGAAGCTGCGACATGAGCCCAGGAGAACAAGGGGAACGACATCATGACAGATTCAAACGTACCCATGCCCTCCGAAACCAGTCGCATTCCACAGCGGCCCCGTAACGTCTCTCGTCATCCACCTCCACTGTCCGTGGTTCCGTCGTGAACCCGGGGACCCGGGACATCTTCTCCCACATCCTCAGCAGAATCTGCGTGGTGAAGGATTGCCCAATGAGCAGCATACCAACGGGTCAATGTGGCAGAAATGTGGACTGCCTCTCACCTCTATGCCGCAAAACTCACACGAACGAGCGGCCGAAACTGAAACGTCACCGCGCCCAGCCCCTCCCGCGGCTCCAACACGCGTATCTCCCATTCGTCGCCAAATGACAGGTATTCCTCCTCGAACCGTTCGAGGTCCCGATATGTCTGCCACATATCCACCTCTGAGGGGTCCCCGTTCCCAGCTTTAAACAACTGGATGATGTCGGTTATGGCTGCATTAGGCAAGAAATACGTCCGCGCAATGCGCTCTATTTCTAGCCTAAAGTCCCGACTGACACCCGCCTCCGCCACGTCCTCCGACTCCCCCGATGCAACCGACGGAGCTGACTCCGCTGATGACGACACCTCCCCGTCATCGCCATTGGCGTCCTCCTCGTGGCGATCGCGAGCCGTGCAGGGCTCGAATGGCGCGTCAATGCGCCGACCGGATGCGTGCACGATCGTAATTAACGGCGGCCGATAGAATCGGCCGTACGGAATGCCTAAGGCCGCTAGGCGGTCCTGTTCGTACAGGCATTTTTTGTTCCTTCGCTGATGTCTACGTAACCCACCGTAGCTTTTCAGTAATTTCTCGCAGAAACAGCATGTCGCGTACGGCATAGTATACGGGTCATGCTCGGACCATGACTCACATGGCGGTCACGTAGACGACTGCGTGCGGGCAAACGCACTTTACATCCACGCCAACCACTAACGTTAAGGACGTAGTCGCGCCTACTAGACCACGCGTAGTGAACAAGGCGTGAACTGAGTTAGGGTTTCACCGCGTGCCTGCCCTCTCGATCTCGATATACCCCCCAGGGGCATATTTGTGTGTTTATGTAATGTGATGAGTAACATTTAATACGAAGAACAATTATGCTTACAACCATGGTAAATCGCCACTGAGTTTCACTCATAGGGCCACCCCATATCCGTATCCGAGCAACACCCTGACCACTATCATACTGGAGCCATCACTCTGATATGTTCCGTATAAATCTTGCCAGGGAGGCTGTGGTTGACATTCAAGGACACCTTTGCTTCTTGAAGTGGGCCACCAATGGGGCCCAACCCTTGTTGGCATAAATATATCAACAGTATTAGCTCATGTCCGGGCGTGGGCGCTTTGCGCAAGGCGTTGGCATCAGTCGCTCAACAACATCGATGAACGTGATGGCGGTGTCGAAAGTCGGCAGCCTGGCCACATCTGCAAAATTAGGAGAGTGTGGACCATCACCGACAATGCGTAAGTCCCGTGCTCTATACTGGAAAGGTGGAGTTTGCCACGCCTTACGAGCAACTCACCTCGAGCCAGTGCATCCACACGAGCCCGGGCTCTGATCGGTAATCCCATGATGGCTGCCTCACAAGCATCGTTGGTTCCTGCGGACAAGAGATAGGGGGTGAGATATCACACGATACCTAGAAAGGCAAATGGGGTAACTGTGCCTCACCTTCCGTGGCTTGGCGGATAGTAGAGGGAATGGGCAGCAGCCGCTCTACCACATCGATGAACGAGATAGCCGTTTCGAAGTTTGGCAGTCTGGCGGCAGCTGCACAAGGGGATGGGTGGGATGCGCGAATTAGCATGGCATCTTATAAGAAGCCCATTGCTGGGGGCCCGACGAATGACACACACGTGAAACGGACTCACCCCGCGCGGCACGAGGCACATTTGGCAATGCAGCTGCAAGCAGAGGCACGCTAGCCGCCTAGTGTGTACCTCCAAGTCCTGTAATGATGAACAGGGGAGGTCACGCACTCTGGACAGAGAGCGGTGTGCCCTAAACGGGGAGGTGTGACACACCGGGAATTAGCACTGGAAGGGCTGTGAGTTGAGGTACTGGGCCCATACCTGCCATGGCACCGGAATGCGGGTGCCCATCATGGCCCAGTGACTCTGTCCGCGGCGTTACTCCTGGCGCGGCCTGCCCGTTGTCCTCATCCTTGGGCTTGGTTGCGTTGCGGTCTATTACGTCACCATGGCCCAGACCGGCCATCGATGCCGCCCCCCCTTTCTGCTCCGCTTGTTCGTCCCTTGTGTCGGATAGCATCCCTCCGCCGACTCCAAGCTTGGCCCTGGTCACGGGGTCCTGCTGCTGGGTTCGGCCATGTCTGCCATTTGGACCTGTGGGCACCGGCAATGAGGCAGCGCGGGGTGATGTTGACTCAAAAACATCGCCACGAACGACGTCCTTTCTCTTGCCGATGTCCTCATCGTTAGCGCCCCACGCTACTACCTTAGGAACTGCATTGTCCGTCGCCACCGGCTTAGGTGACTTATCGACATGACGATACTGGCCATCGACCCTCGTGCCTCTCACTTCTTGCTTTTCGCCCACCACACAAGGGTTTACGCCCCCCGTTGCAACACCAGTAAGGCGGTTCGTGGGACGGCTCAGATGAGGATCGTTCTCGTGTGGCGCGATTCGTCCGCCGCGGAACTCTGACGCTGTTTTGTCATTGGCAGGCCGAAGGGAGCTCAGGTCCTCCTCCGTCGCAGGAGTTTCTGTCCCGAGGTCCAGTGAGCCGGTGTATATCTGCGTCTCCGCTTCCATTAGCGCGTCCACCGGCTCCCCTAGCGCTACGGGTTCCTCGTCACCCTGTCCGTGCCCGGCGGGGTGGTTGGCGCCTATGGGCTGAGATTCTCCTCCGTACCGTGGATCAGTACTTTCCCATTTGTCAAAGCGAGCCCGTGGATTATAACACGGAAGTAGAAACGCACCGCTTCGATATACATCTTCCGGCATTCCACAGAATGGGTCTTCACTTTCTCCGTCAGCGCCACCGTCGTGTACGTCGTGCCCTACATGCTGACTGTTGGCGTGCTGGTTTGGCCCGCTTCGCGTGGAGGCCATGGTTGTTAACAGGAGCTTCGGAATCGGGGGTGGTTTCTCGGATGCTTTGGGTTGTAAGCAAGGTGTGCTTGACCGCTGATTAGGGTTTCGGGAACAGTGACGGCCTCCAGACGAGCTGTTTCACCGTTCATCTTCCAGACACCCTAAACCCAACCTCGATAATGTTTGTTATGACCGGTACCATTCGAGTATAGTTATTTATCGAAAGTGAATCAACATTGCAAGTTGAGGCATGTATTACTGTCAATCTGGGAGCCCTGAACATTGTTCACATCGATTTCCAGTGACAAACACAGTGCTATGCAGATGAGGCGCCCATCTGCTTGGGGTACCAGCCGCTCCACTCCAAGAAATCCTCCCTAATATCCTCTCTCCATTCTGTTGGATCACCCCACAGTGTGATCGACGATGTGTCTGCAAAAGCGGTGTCCACCATCACCTGCATATATTTCATCACGTACACACTACAGTCGTTCCTGTTCGACTGTTTTGTGACCTGGGACACAGAGTACATCACACACATACAGAGGAAACACACAGTACAGACGCAGTCATAGATGGGCCGCATCATCTTGTTCTGGCGCATGCGCTGAAGTGTTAAGCGTTCCATACCTCCATGGTGACGAGCTCCACCGAATTCTCCCATAGTTGCGCCTCCACGTCCGTGACAATGGGCCGATACCCAGTGAGCTGAGCCGCAAGATAACCTCGCAGTGGTCCTGCGATGTCCGTGTGTAACGAGAGTGAGTTTGCATGCAGGATGCGGGTAGGTCGCGGGATGTTGTGCTCGTCGACTGGGTGGTCGTTGTCCAGTATGACAAGGCTCCAGTGGCCGCTGCAAGAACGAATGCAAGAATGGGTGCCGCCATGAGACTATGTGGTCGCCTACAGATGCTATGACGGATGACGACACCGGTAAATGACTCACGCGCGGTGGATCGGAACTATGACCCACTTGTAGGTTAGGACATTCTCTCCGCACGCGAAGTTTCGCAGTGCTGCTGCGGTGTTGTCACGGGAAATCAGCGTGTAAAAGTATGTCCCAGCGTATAGCCACGTCCGCTCTTCTCTGAAAGTTTCATATTGAAGCAAGCTGCATCAAACGAATGACGAAACGCGTTTAGCATGATTAACAACCTGGTGAATGGGTTGTTGCAATGACGCACATCAAGCGGCGGGTTACTCACATTCCCCACCACTCAATGATGTCGCCAGAAACCCACTTTCCAGGGGACAGGGTGTCTAGCTATTTCTGCGTCAATGATAACCACGAGCCACCAATTGGATATGGGATACTGTACTTCTTCATACGGGAGGTCGGGGCTTTAGACTTCTTAGGAGGCATTGTAGGCTGTAGCACGAGCGCGAACCCTGCGGTCTACGTGGAAGCCGAGGGTCTACGTTGAAGCCGCGGTTAGGCAGCGTCAATTGCGGCGGGCTGGAGATTCGGCATATGAACACACCGATCCTGAAATGGTCACGTTTAAGTTGACATAACTTCACGGTACGGTGGTGCACGGTTTATTACTTCGCACTCAACAGGTGCCTTCGATCACCGTGGCTTACCGTCGGGGGAAATGTTGAAGATGCAGTGCAGTGTGTACTCCCAGATTCCCGGGCAACCCTGTAACGACCATCCCATAATGGTCGCCTATAGCGGACTTCGTTAAGGCATCCGGAATTGGTTTGCACGGTATGAGGTGCAACCAGTTGTCCTGGTACACGGTACTGGGTTCCAGTGCGGCGACGATAAGGTTACACGTCATCGCGGTATTTCGAGGCCGCCGCGTGGACAGGGGTCTTACGAAAAGCGGCCAATGACGCATATCCCGTCCTTCGTGTGGTGTACAACGCACAGACGGTTTAGATTGACCCAGTCGGGTGGGGACTTCAATCCACGGCTGTCAGTCACTTTGAATGCCACGCGCCCAAGGGAGCAGGAGCCGATTGGCGCGTCTGGTTGGTTGATGGTTGCAAGACTCCTGTTCTTTGTTGTCTCATTGCGTTTTGGGCGAAACCCTTGCTTTGTCTCTTTGGGTACTACTCGTAACCCTAGCTAATGCGCATCCGCGCAGGCCAGTGTTGCAAGAATCGCCCTATTGAAGAAGCCAGTTCGAGGTCAGAACGATGTCTCTAACCTTAGACCGACCTATGCGAGATAGGAAGCCACCCGCACACCTTAATGGGAACGATTTCGTAGTGACTACGGTCCGCACTCGAGCGCTGGACAGCAAATGGGTGGAAGAGAGTGAGCGCACGCGTGTGCTCGTTACTGAATATCGAACTCGGCGTCTACGTGGCGACTGTCATTTGCCGCCAGGCCAACGTCAGCCCACTCACGGTGTCAGCGCCGGCCCACGCCAGAGACCGTTGCCTAATCCATACGACCAGACTCCAGAGGAAGTGCACGCGGAGCGCGAAGCACGGAGACGTCAACAAACGAAGCTGTTGACGGAGATTACGTCTGCAAACGCTGGGCCTGCAGAACAGTCACCCAAGGCAAGGGGTAAGCCACTTCCGTACGTGCCGTAAAAGCCGCATGCCCAACGCAGATTTCTTATTAGGAATGGTTCATCGCGGCGTTGGCCATGGGCGGTGCTGCCAATACGGTGACCCTGGGTACTCACCAAGCTACTAAGTAGCTTTTGCGTTTGTTGTTGCAGGTGGTGATCTGCGCCTAAGCGGGGACACTGAGCACGGCGGTCCACGCAGCACCGAGTGCGGCCCTGAGGCATGGCTGAAGTACAACGAGGTGCTGTTTACAGTGCAACACTCATCATGCTCTGAAGAGGCCGACGTAGACGGCGAGGGCACGGAGTCCTCATCCTGTGACAGAGAGGATCAGTCTGGCGACACGGACTAGGTCGCAAGCGAGTCCGAGTCCGAAGGGGAGACTGATAACACGCCTCCTCCCTCTCACCAATCTGAACTCGCAGGGTCACAAGGTTGCGGCCAATCTGCATCAGGCCGTGCGGGTAAGCGCTTGTGGGCCACCGGGAGCGGGTCCAATCGCTTACGCTGTGACGCCGACACGTCTGTGCTTCGAGGGGTCGTGGCTGTGTCGACACGGGCGTCCGGCATGCGGCGCAACTTTTTTAACATCTACGAGGAGACGAGCGACAGTGACATTCCGTCGGCTACAGGCCAGAGCGTGAATGTCGCACGTGGCGGGCCGGCGACGTCGGAGATTCGAGTACACGATGCGAAATTGCAGCCGTCACTCGCTACGGCGGCGGCGGGTCATGGTGGGTACCCGTCCACATCGACCCCCACACCTACCACCCCTCTGAATCGCTCGCAGGATGTCGTCAGGGGATCGGCGTTTTCCGGTAACTCCGCGAGGCCGTGGCCGCTCACACCGACCACAACACCTAAGCACAGTGGTGTGGAAGCCGAGTCCAACGCAGCACCATCTCGTGGCGGGGGGGTGGTGAACCGGACCTTGTTCGCTTCGCCGCCTAGGATGCATCCTTCTAAAACTGCCAGCTCGCCTTCTAACATTACCCCTGCCACGCCCTTGGTAGCACCTTCACCGCAGGTGCACGAACGTGGTCCGGACGGAGCTGGTGTGTTGCCGCGCATGATTCCCACGCCCTTCCTGGCCACATGCGAGGACACTCACGCAAGTGTCCGTGGAGCGGACACCGTTCTTGGCGGCGATGGGTGTGGAGACGACGTCGCCGGGCGTGCGATGGAGCAAATACGACTGCTGTGGGCGCAGGTTCAGGCGACTCGTGGGACAAAGGGTCCATCGGCTGTGGTACACGGGGCCGTGCCGAACTTCACCCTTGGCGAAGACCTGCATGCCGCTCTTGCGGGAATGGACGGCGATGCGGCGGATGAGTCGGGCAAAGGAGGCGGAGTTGTAACGCCAGCCGTGGCAGCCCAGCCGCAAGTGTGGAGGCCGAACGGCACGGCTGGAGATGCACCCCAACAGAGTGGGGTTCGGAGGGACGCGTGTGTGGCGACGCAGGCACCAACACGACCCGCCCGAGCTGCCGAAGAGTTAGCGCCGGTTGCAGAGGCATTTGAGCGGCCAAACCGCGGATTCGCAATGAACCGACTGTCAGGAGCTGGGAGGCTGGCGATCGTGGGGAACCACGTGGCTCCCCTGGTGGGCGGTGTTGGCGTGGGGAGAGAGACAGGGATGGCCGCGGGGAGCGTAGCGCCTGATGGTGTGGCGTGGGATCGACATGCGCCAGGCCTGCGAGGAAGAGGGTTGAAGCGAGAGCGGCCGAAGATGACGATCGTGGTCGACTTCAACCCAAACGATGGCAGGCTTGATTCGCAGCCGGGAATGCCTCCGGCAGACCAGATTCACGTATGTGGACTAGGCATTCCTGGATAAATGTACGCATGAGGGCCTGGTGTGCTTTTGATATAAGACTTGTGGTCTCCCCCCCCCCCCACCCCCCACGTACCACCACCGCCCCCCAGTTTTACGCCAAGAAGGCGATGCATCTGCTGTTGCGTTCATGCGCCGCGCATGGCGTAACGCACTGGCCGACGGACGACGAGAGGAACGTGGCCCTTCTCGTGGTGCTCCGGTGCCACTACGACGTCTGCCAGCTAGACGTTGACCGCGCCATGGGGAACGGGGCGTACAGCAAGGTGGTCAACAAGATCTGGTCGAAGTTCAGGAGTGACTCGTCGTCGAACGGACGGCGCAGGATCGTGGATGGGCTGGAGATCGAGGTCGCAGCCACCGGCATCTACAAGCTGGAGATCGATATCGACACCAAAAAGGATCTGCACCGGAAATACGCGCCCAGTGAGTGTCGTGGGTGCATGGGGGGGATCCCCATGGAGGGCTCACAGGGCAGGGCCTATGTATACTGGGGCTGCGTTAACCACATCGTTGACTACCGCTCCGTGTACAGAGAAGGAGCTTATGCAGCTTGTATCGACATGGAGCTGCGAGAAAGGGGATTTGCGGCCCTTTACCACCAGGGTCTTTTTCCAAGCATGCAAGGCGGCCTACCCAGAGTGGGTGTTTGGAGGCAACCTGGTGCTGGTGCCATACCACATCGCCTGGGTCTTGTATTCCGTGAGTGGATTGAAGCTATTCGTTCCATGTTCTAAGCGGTCCCATGTATCACACTGACAGTGTTCTGCAATTAACTTGATGGCAGTTCGATTTCGGGATACGCAACTGGAAGACAAAAGCGATATGCATGACTCCTAGCCCTCTGGACAACGAGGGGGGGCTAGGTTACTGTAACGAGCAGGTGCTGCAAGTGATCACCCATTGGCTGGGTGTGTCAAAGGGCAGGTGGTACGTTCCCGTTGTGGGCGGATTCCGGTGGGGGGCAGAGCACCTGTATGTCAACGCGAGTGACCTGGAGGAGTTCAAGCCCGTGCAATATGGGGGAAAGATGGACCCGGGTGGTGACACTGACGAGCCCTGGCTCGCTTGATGTTGTGCTCTTGCCTGTCGTGCCACAGGGGCATTGGCCCAGACACATAGGCTTTTATGCGTGGCTTGTTATATTGGGGCTGTATTGTGGGTGCCGAATCCGTAGACCTGGTAGCAATATGTAATAATTTCTTGCTCTGTAAATATTGGTTTTGCAAAATGAATTTTCCCTTTATTCAATGTTGTTATGCACTAAATTATAACGAGGATCATGCATATTGTGTACAGTGCGCTGTCAGAAAGAACGAAACAGGAATGAAGAAAGGAGAGTTTGACTAGCAAGCAGTTGGATACATATAGCAAACCCTAATTGGGCTGTACTCACTATGGAGTACCCCAATGCAGGCTAGACAATAATAACATTCTGACACACCCCCATAGCCAAAGTGGGGTGTAATCAGCACAATGAGCAAGCATAGCAGTAGTTCACAATTATAAGCAAAGCTAGTGGTAGTCACAGCGGGCAAGTGAGGAGGAGGAGGGACTGTGAGAGGAGAGAAGATGGGAGACGACGGCTGAAGCTGCAGACACACGGGCAACAGGAGCGGCTGGCACAGTGGCTACCGGGACAGCGCCCCGGACTACTGGAGTAACTGGCTCACGGGCTACGAGGAGCTACAGGAGCAACGGACCCACGGGCGACAGGCGCAGCAGGCTCTCTGGGCTACCAGGACAGCGCCCGGACTACAGGTGCTGCGGACGACAAGACGGCAGCCTCCTCTCAGCCTCCCCAAACAGTCCCACCCCCCTGATACACACCCACTGCTGCGTCCCTAGATCCACTCCCACGTCACCCCCCTTAAACCCTAAACCCTCGGCTCCCACACACCCACCCCCCTCAGCAGTAGCTGCAGCAGTGGGAGACGGAGGAGGAGGAGGAGTAGGGTACGGATCACACACCTGCACCCCCATACTTGCCACCCCCATACCCCCAAACGTAGGGCAAAAACGGGGGCAGCAGCTGGGGCGGTGTGTGAGCGGAAGCTGGGAGGCGCGCGGGCCCCCAGGGCGCCTCGACGAGTGACGGGAGGGGGGGGACGCGCGGCCCCCCAGGGCGCCGCGACGGGTGACGGCAGGGGCGACGCGCGGCCCCCCAGGGCGCCTCGACGAGTGACGGGAGGGGGGAACGCGCGGCCCCCCAGGGCGCCGCGACGGGCGACGGGAGGGGCGACGTGCGGCCCCCCAGGGCGCCGCGACGGGCGACGGGAGGGTGGGGGTCGACGCGTTAGAGCCCAGGGCGCCGCGACGGGCGACGGGCAGGGCGACGCGCGGCCCCCCTGGGCGTCGCGACGGGCGACGGGATGGCGGGAGGGGGGCGCGCGCGGATCCCCCACGGCAGAAAACCGCCGCGCGCCTCGGGGCGCACGGCGGGCAGAAACTCGCCGCGCGCCCCGAGCGCACGGCGGGATGAAAACCCTAAAAGAAGACGGCGCGCGCCCGAGGCGCGCGAGAAGCAGAACAGCAGCGGAAGCAGTTAGGTGGTGGGCCCACCCACAGGATCGACCCAAGGGGGTCGACCTGCTCTGATACCATGTCAGAAAGAACGAAACAGGAATGAAGAAAGGAGAGTTTGACTAGCAAGCAGTTGGATACATATAGCAAACCCTAATTGGGCTGTACTCACTATGGAGTACCCCACTGCAGGCTAGACAATAATAACATTCTGACATGCGCGGCTGAAAATTTGTAGCCGATATAAACGCAAAATCTGTAACGGGAACCGGCGCACTCAATGACGGGGTTTAGGCGGATTGTGTGGTAGACACGTGTGTCCTAAATCTGCCCTCATAGTTACTTTTGGGTCAGACTGTCTAACACGTACCTGACTTTTCCCGCCAAATTTTGACCCGTACCTGACCCGTAACTGACCCGTACCTGACCCGGAAGTCACTTGTGGGTTACCCATTCTGACCTCAAAGTAGCCTAAAGTGTCAGTTCCAAAAGTAACTTTTGGGACATATTCCGAGATGGCCCGAATATTGCCCGGAAGTCACCTGGGGGCCCCGTTTGGGTCAGAACATTTTGGAGATGTCGGCCAAATATTTCACTGGAAATAGGAATGGCGAAATGAGGGTCAAGGAGTCACTGGAAGAACAGCCGAGAAGAAGAGCTATGGCTTCAGAATGGGCGACGGCGACATACGGGCATCATGAGCTCGACATACTGGCAGTGCTATCAGGAGCTCCTCTACAAAAAATGTGGGCCAAAAACAATTAATGCACTTAGCGCGAACATAGTTCGAAGTACTTTCTGGGAACATACTTCATAGTTTACTATGCGCATTGGGATTGTTTAGCGGGGGTAACTTCAAAGTTACCCGGGGCATACATTCGAGAGGATTGGTGGTGGTTTCCACATTCTTAGAATGAGGATTGTACAAACTGTATACACTGTAATCCGATAAGGGTATAACAGCAAATCCCTAAAATACACTGAACTTTGAAACTCTTTTATGAGTATAACTCCAAAATAGTATTTGTGCTTAAACCAGATGTCACTGTAAGAAAGCCCAGACATTATATATCGAAATAGTGTACATTGTTTACCGTAGCTACACCTAAAAACAGTTATAAGCATATAGCGGCGTCTCTGCTGTACATATGACCGCTTAATGTTTCTGAAATTATACATATTTGCGGCGATCCTCTAATTTGCAAGAATGTTTACAACTCAGCAGTAGTTTTAAGTACAGCCGTAAGATTGACATGTGCGACAGTCTAACATTTTGCCTGACCAGCTACTCTTAAAATCCAATAGTAAGACAACAAGCTGCGCATTGCTCACATGCATCCAAAGCCCAAACAAAAGAACTGGGTTAAGTGTGACAAGCAACCCTTAAGCAACTAAGAATATGAAAAGCATCGACAATACCCATGCATACGCCAGTTAACGTATTGTTGTCCACCTTCAATTTCAACTCTTACGTCTTCATTATACACACTGGGAATGATGACTGAGCTTGTGGTTTGAACATCTGTACAAGGCTGGAGGGCCATAACTCTGCACAGAGTTTAAACAGAGAGTGCAATCCAATTGTTGAACAAGGACTATGCACATCAGTTACATATAAGATTCAGCTGAACAAACCTGACGTTGGCGAATATGTGACCATGCCACCTCGAGCGCCAAAGCGGTCTGGCATTACTATCTGTTGAAAAGAGGGTGCGGGATGCAAAAAAAAATAAAGAAGGGGCGGGGCTTAGAGTTGGTAAGTGGCTCGGAGTGATTAATACGAGCAGATGTATCCGGATTCGAAGGTACGGGATGCGGCGATGGCGCGAAAACGTGAGCGCGTGCTGCGCGCCGCACTATCATTGATACTCAGATTATGCCAGGCGCTGTTCGCAAACGTAATCAACCAATATTGTCTCGGTAGAGTCACTACGTTTACTGTTTGATCCCGTTGCAAGCACAATTCTAAAACAAATCGCCACCAGCACCTCAACCGCACGTATCCAACAAAACAGGAAAAATACTAAAACGCTTGTATATTAACCTTAAATGAGCCGTCAAGTTTTTATAACTATGCCTTACGCTTGGATTATTGCAAGGAACAAACGACACCGTCCAGCAGAGCTTGCTGCCCGCAGGCAATTAAAAATAAACTCTATGCGGAAAGGCATCCAGTACGGATGGCATCAACATTAAACACCTTGTCGCATGACGTTTAAGGTTGATGCCTCCGTTACATAACATGCCATTCGATGTAATTTTAATTTTCTTCTGTTCTAGGACAGCAGGTCCATGGTCGACAAAAGGTTGACGGTGCCGTCGACCCCATTTTGTTGAATTATTCCCAGTCTGCATCCTTTTTCCTAAATGGTTTTTTTCAACGCAATTTGCGCTTGATACAATTTTTATTTCTTGGGTAGCACCTCGACACAATTGTTCATGTTTAACTTAGGTAATTGCGTTTTGTTTCTGTCACATTTAGGAGGTGATATTAGCGTATAATATTAGTGTGATTGAAAAGCGACGACCAATCAGCGATGAGAAATCGAGGTTGAGTACCGATGCAAACTTTCTCTGGCATACTTTGAGTATCAATGATATTGGCTGCTGTTGTTTCGTACTGGCACTTCAATTTCGAGTTGTGCTTACGTCAGCAGCTCAACAAGGACATCTCCCGATTTCAGGATAGTTCAGGGTGTTCTGTACTGTACAGTATGGGACATTTGGGGGTTACACTAGTGGTCACAAAGCTGAGTGTTTTGTCGTGGGCGTGTAGTCCACCGCTGCTCCTATCCTATGTACCATAACATTTACTACATCCTTTGGTTGTAACTAAGGGTCAGGAAAAAAAATATGCCTAAATAGTCAACAACACAATTGATGAATGTCCATTCATACAAGATGAACACATTCTAAACCCTGATCTGGAACCACCATATTTACAACGACTTTCATCAACAGATAACTACATACCGGTATGCGAAGACTCCAAAGTTACTCTTCATTTCCCGAAACCCTACCTGTACGGTTGTCAACCCCTCCCCTTTGCTGCTCCTTTCCCCGCCTCCTCTTCTCCTCCCCTTTCCAAATCCCGACCCTGCCTACACATTTTGCTCCTACACTATCCTGATACATTTTGCTCCTACATTATCCTGATATGACAGCGCGAGATAGGATAACGGGATAATGAAATAAATTGGCAGAGAGAAGGGAA